TCGAAGAAAGTTTTGAATTTTAGAAAAGACTAACAGTTGTTATAGCTAGTCGCATTGGGCTTAGACTTGGTAAGTTTTTATTAGTCATGAATGTTAGTCTATTTTGATGTATCACAGTGTTATTTGGCAGTTCAATCAAGTAAATAAAGACAGAATTACTTAAAAAAAAAAAAAAAAAATACAAAATATAATACAGTATATATTATAGCTTTTTTTAAAATACTGTAGTTAAAAATAGTAATATTAGGGTGTGGCGGCTTAGTGAAGTGGTCTAGTTGTCACCCCACCAAGTAGCAGGTTGAGAGTTTGAATTCTACAGATAACAATTTTCGAATTTAATCTTGTGTTACAGTTACTATTGTCCGCATCGGGGAAAAATGCCTGTAACCCATTGGCGTACCAAAGATTGGCAATAAACTGGGACCTGGAAGATTTGGGGTATTGTACAACCCTGTAGACCAGGGAAGTACAAGGAATGCTAGCCAGTTAAATGCGATGCAAACCCATAATAAGTCCAACAGATCGATGCATATGGGGATGATTATCGGATGATGGAAGTCTGCTTGGAAAGTCCTGAATATGGTATTCATAGCTAGGACTACTTAGTTTCGGCTTTAAAGGAATACAAACTGGTATATGATAGGCGGTGTAAATACAAGATAAATCCATATAAGGGCAAAAACACTTGTATTTAGAGTAGGACTAAATACTCAACTATGCAATTACATATGTACTTTATAAACAATAACTTTATAAGATCTACAACTATAGTATATAAATATAAACACAAACTTAACAAATTACCAACTATAAATATTCATTAGTAATAAAACACAAACAACTTCCTTCTATAGATCTAAAATCTGAGGATAAGACGTTAAAAACTTGGGTAACCAGGTTGGGGTGGTCCTCAAAGTATCAGCCACTTCTGATCTTATCTGTTTTCTATACAAACAAAAAAAATGCTCTTACTAGCTAAAAACACTAACAATATCTTACTGACAAACCCTCTTACTTTTAATTTACCAACTCTTTCTAATATAATTCAAAAAGTTAGTGCTTTCAACATCGAGTGTACCTTTAACAACTCTACACTTCTCCATGACATTAGTATTTCTTGAATTAAATCCTGGCTATCTAAATATAGTATTCAAACCTTAACAAGAAAACACTTCTTCTATATCATCGAAAAACACACAATTATACTCTTCTCTTTCATCTTATACAACTAGCCAAAAACAATATAACAATCTCTTCTTCTTCTTCTCAAATTGCAATATATTCCTCTTTTATTCCAGAACATTCACATCTAATTTATGATATACTCCCCAAAACTTCTAACAATCTCACAATAAATAGCCTTAAAAACAACAAAATTCTATTTATAGAACAAATTACAACTGCAAATAACAAATCTCTTCTTCCTTGAAATAATATCTACCTTTGAACAAACAAAGCAACTAGAGGCTATCAACCTGCTTGGTTTACCCAACTTCTGCAAATGACACAAAACAACTCTCTTTAATCTATATGGCCACACCTTGAACTACTCCCAACAAAATATTTTATTAGCACAACTAATCTTATACTCTTCCCAAATACAAACTTTCTCTTTCAACTCTTTTTTATTAACCAAAATAGAATCTTTCTCTGATACTCTAATTCACAATATACACTTTCTTATAAAATAAACCAAACTGATGAAACACCTACTAGACAAACAAATTTAGTAGTGATTTCAAACTGTTTATCTAATTTTAAACTTATAAATCTTCTATATAAACAAGCCAAGTTTAATAAGCCCTACTTACAAATAGATTACAAAGAATTAACTGCTATACTGGATATTACTCCTAACTCAAACTTATCTCCAATCTCTTTTCTACAACAACCTTATATTCATATCCCTTCTTGTGAAATATACTTAATATATCATATAATCAAAACTTCTCTTTACCAAAACTAGCTAATTCAAATACACAACAAAATTTTAACTTTAAATACAACTAGTTTCTTATTCTATACTGATGTCTCTATTAAAAATCTCTAAACTTCAAATATACAATCTAGTATTGGCTAGATTTGTGAAAATAATCTGTCTATTAAATTCAATGTAGCAATTTATTTCTCCCCAGACTCTTCTTATTCTGAATTATTTGCAGTCATCCCTCTTCTTCTTGTCCTACCAATTAATACTAAAATTACTATTTTTATTGATAATATATCAACAATCAATAACCTGCTTAACCTCTCTTCTTCCAAACTTATTCAAAACAAAAACTAGGATATAATTACAATTATAAATTCTATTAGACTAACTAAAAATATTTCCATTATCCCTATCAAAATAAAATCATATTCATATAGCTCTATTCACAATTAGGCTGATTTATTAGCCAAACAAGGCTTAAACAAACCTATTCTTAAAATCTCCTATACATACTTCAACCTACCTATTTACTTTTTCTGAAATAATTACATTATAATCTTCAAAATATGCTTCTTTATCAAAAGTATTACTACTATCCAAGAACTTATTTCATAGTCATCTCTTAAATTCTTTGATAACTACACACCAGATATAAACTGGAACATAACTTTTAAAATACTTAATTCTCTGGAATATGATTTCTCCAAATACTCTTTTTATATCAAAATTCTGACAAACAATCTTCCAACAATGCAAAATCTTAATATCTGCTATCCAAATTTATATACAACAAATCAATACTGCAAATACTCTTCAACTGAAGATACTCTTCACATACTTTTATACTCTAAAAATACTAAAAATATTCAACAATCACTCATCAATATAACTAATAATACACTTCATCAACTTCAAATAAATATCCCTGCTACTTCACTCTTTAACTCTCTCTTACTCTTTACAATAAACTCTTCTAATATACAATTCAATTTTCTTCTTCCTGCAATCCTTAGAGCATACTCCAAACCAATATATTATAATGCTTAACAAACAAACCAAATTATTTCTTATCAATTTCTTCAAGAACCTTTTAAACTGGTTATATAATCTAAACAAAACCTCTTTCAACATCAATGGAAAATAGCTCGTAATATTACACCAAAAACTAAACGCTCTAAACTAACTTTACCATCTATCAACAATCAAACCAACATATATATGTTGTGCCTCAGACTAACGCTTGCCTCAGATCACAGCTGACGCACCTCCGATTCAGATCGTCAGGTGAGGTGCGTAAACTACGTATTGATCTATCATCTTAACTCAATCTGACAAAAGTAAGAGAGCAAAATAAATTGAATAAAAAGCTTTTGACTTGGATGCTTTTTTTATTCTTGCTTTCTTAAATCTCTTTGGCGTTTTTCTTATTGGTAGCATCTAGCACCTCTATTCTTTTCTTTAAATTTCTTTTCCCAAATTTTCGTGGCACATTCTATTTCCAATTAATATGCACTTTTTTTTCTATACGTATGGGTTTGTTTTTTTTTTCCTAAATTTTCTCTACATACTCTTCCTGTTTAAGTCTTCTCGGCACGCTCAACTTCAATAATACATTTTATTCTATACATATATTTTTTTTCTGAGTAATGACTGATCGATAGGTTACGCACCTCATCTAACAATCTACACCTGAGGTGCATCAAATGTGATCTGAGGCAAGCGTTAGTTTGAGGCACAACATATACATTAACAACTTTGCAATGTATGATAAAATTTCATATTTGATTTTCTGCATATCATTGAAAAAATAATAAAAGTATCTTATCTGTCTACCAGTATTAATTAGGCTTTATAATTTTATATATCGTGTAATTTTATTTGTTCATACATAATTGTGTTTGATCAAAAATTTTTTCTTGCCAAAAAACCGCTACCATTGGTAACGGTCAAAGTCAGCATTTTTCTTTTCTCAGTTAAAACTTTTTCACTATCCTCTATTACAGGTAGGGCTGTGTTACAATACCAGCTTTACAAAAGTTCGGCTAACATTATGCATCATTTGATTTAAATATATGATCCGAATTGTAACTCCTCAATCACCGAAAATTTGATCTCAGAAACTAATATCATGTGTTCAAAATTACAAATTACATGAAAAACTAATTTATGAACTTTACTCAAAATTACGTAAAACTACACAAAATTACAGTAATTTTACATTCCTAATTATGGGTTTGTCCTGGGGTGACATTAAATATGTAATTGTTAAATGCTTCGCACCTATGCCACGCACCATAGCGAAAAGAAAATGAATAAAGTTTGCCTATATCGGGCTTTTCTAATTTGTGTAATGCCTGTACTATATGACCGCTCATCAAATAGAATATGAGTTATTTTGACTAGCCGATCCTCCCGTGATTTGAGAAATAACTTCTGATTGACGCTCTGAGCCAAATGGGCATAAACTACTAACAGATTCTACAGCTTGGTCTACAATCGATCTCAACTCTTCTTGTGATAACCAAGGATCTTCTAACTGAGTATCAATACATATTTTATTATAAATCTGTTGAGACCCAACAACTATATATGCTGACATTTGGAAGACCAAAATGCATAGTAGCTGTTAGGATTAGATGTACGGTCACGTTAGGGAGGATCCATTGATCTAAGACCAAAGCCATATAAAATTTAGGTAAAACGTATATACGTCACCACATGTATGTTATATAGGTATAGTTGATATTCTAATGTCTGCGCCTTACCAACAACAACAAGTTATTGATGCTTTTCAATTAACCTTTTAAAAAATGTTTTTATAGTTTTTAAATTTAAAAATACAAATAAAATATTTGCAGCGACTAGATTGACCAGGCTGACTAAGCTAGACATACTAGACTAGACATAAATCAATATAAATTACAGATGCGTGTTCACAAAATTTCCCAATTTTATAATGACACAAAACTTTAAATCAAAAATATCTGTTTCATACGTATCGATGTCAAATTTATTGTAAGATTATCCATAACACAGTACATTTAGAATATAATAGAAATCGATGGTAATTTTATTGAAATGCAACATCGAAACGTTCTGCCATCACTGGACCACCACCACTCGCGAATCCAGTACCTGATATATATAACAAATTATGAATACCAAAAATTTAAGTTTGCCAAATGATTTTTACAGAATTTAACGAATATTTTACTACCTTCACCCGACATATCTGCAACATCTTTGCTTCGACATTTTTCACCACAAACAAAACATTGCTTGGAATTTTTAACAAATTTTTCAACACAAACCTTACAAATTACATGTCCACAACGTTTCATTACTTGGAACAAGTTTAAATATGGTTAGAGTCAAAGATAGTAAAGATGACGTGAATCGATTAATAAAATGAATTAATACGTACAACAAATCTTGACTGAGTTTGTTAAGGTTTTACGACATGAAGGACAAACAAAACTAGTTTTTTTAGTATTGGGGTCTATATCTTCAGTAAACTTTGTCGGTATGAAATTTTTCACTCTATACAATATTAAGAGGTATTAGAAATAGAAAAAAAAGATAATAATAATATACATATGTATATATACCCAAATGGATGTTCAGGATCAGAAGCGGTACACATTGTCTGCAGTTTCACGGATTTTATTTTATCAGGATCCGCAGATGGAGTAAGCGACGGCTAGAAATATAATACAAGTATTAATTTTAAGGCATAGAAATGTAAATTTAAGAGAATATACTTACCAACCAGAAGTTAGGCAATTTTGGTTTAGATGCTGCCACCTATTATATAAAGTAATACTAAATAATTGTGTTAAAACAAGTATAAATCATGATTAATCTAAATACCTGTTCCTCCTCTAATCTTTTCATTGCTTCTTGTTGTTCACGTATAGCTATTGCTTCAACTTCCTCCTCATCAAGACGAAATTCACGCTTTTTTCCGGCTATAATTATAAACTCTTTTAGTTATCTAAAAGTTTAAGGAAGGAATGATATAATAGGAAAACAGATATAATGGTTTATTCGGATAATAAATTTACCTTGCAATGTTTCGCCACTCTCTATGGCTTTAATACTTTTTGTAGAGTCTGGTGATTTCCCATTATCAATTGTTTTCGTAGAATTATCTGTTATTTTTGTTGAATCATCTGTTGATGCTTTCGTTGAATCCTCCATTTTTGATCCGGATCCGGATGGTGCAATTCGAACTTGTTGCCTCTCAAAATCATGGATTACTGCCTCTTTAGCCATTTGCTCTTTCCTTTTAGATTCTTCAAGTTCATCCTTTGCTCTTGCTTCCAATAAATTTTGTTGGCGTCGGATTTCTTTCTTTTGAGCTAAAAGATTTTCTAGTATGCACTCTTTACAATATAGATGACCCTGTTCACAACATATAGGATCCCGGGCCCTTTGAAGACAAAGAAAACATGCATCAAATTCTCGCATCGAATCTCGGCCTAACCGTTGCTAAAGAAAAGATGTATAAAATTATAAAAGTCGAAAATAATGGTTAATTTAAATCATGTTCGTACCCTTTTTGTACCATAGTTTAATGCCTTGCCTTCAGCATACGTGAAGAATGAAAGTGCTGTATTGTTTTTACTATGGCGTGGCATCTTTCAGCAAAAGTTTCGGAACTTTACAAGTGACTATCTATCGCTAGAAAACCAATATTATATATACTCTTAGTTGTCACATTTCTGATTGGATAACCACTAACCAGAACCGGATTTTTTTCTTGGTTCAAATCACTACTATGTAATAAAATTGAGTTTACTTTTTTGGCATAAGGATAGGTCTTGCTGGCATATAACAAGCTATATTAGGTACTGTTTATTATAGCATTCATACAGTGGGTACCACCTAAAGCCAACAAATTTTATATATAGACACCAATTTTTTAGCTGCAGTATAACATGATTAACGCAGAAAAAGTTAATATAAATTTAAATTTTATTAATAAATTTTAAAATTTTGTTAATAAATTTAAATTTTGTTATGCTTTTTTATATATAACTTTAAATTGATATAAATATCTTAAAATAAAAGATACTAAACCTTTTTTCAAAGAGCTATTAAATGTATAAAAAATTTTTTTTAGTTTATTTTATTTTAAAAAAATTATAAAACTTTAAAAATTTTATAGTTAAAAGTTGATGGCTTTTCATAGTAGCAACTATATAATATTCATTTTTCTTGTTTAGTAATAATTATTACTGTAAAATAAAGTTGATGTATATCAAATTAGTGTTTGGACCTGCTCACCATCTGGGCCACCTAATGGGTGGACTAACTAAAAAGGTTTCAATATAGGTCACCCAATAGATAGACTATATATCACTAGGTATATTTATTTACTGTTCATATTCTAAAACTTTCTGATAACTCAGATGATATCTATTCTTTAGTAAAAATTTTTTTTCTTTAAGAGAGCTTACTATGCTGTATCGACTTTAGGATAATTGGTATTTACTGTACAATATTTTAAGAAATTGCTATTTCTACCCCATTTTTGCTAATACCACCCCCAGATATCAAAAAGTGCTTCAAAATAGATATTTTTATTAAGTAAATCCTCTTTTAATCTTAATAAAAGTTGTTTATCAAGTCTTTCTGGTTCTAATAGTAGTAAAATCATTATATTCAGACTAGTAGTTTTTAAGATATATATATCCAAAGTTAGGTAACTTTTATTTACTTTAAAAAAAACTATCGGTCTGATTTTAATAATTTTACTACTATTAGAACCAGAAAGGCCTGATGAACAACTTTTATTAAGATCAAAAGGAGGTTTTCTTAATAACAATACCTCTTCTGAAGCACTTTTTTAAAATTTAAAGGGGGCATTTGCAAAAATAGAGGTGGAAATAGCAATTCCCTATTTAAATATATATATATAAAATACGTATGAAATTGCTAATATATACATTTTATAATTTCAGTACAAATCTACAGCATTAGGTAAATTCTCCCCCAAAATATATTGAATGACATTTGCTTGTACTTTTGACAAACTAAAATTTGCAATTCATACGTAAGTGTATACTGTGCTTATCTGTTATATATGTTTATCAGGAATTTAAGAATTTCTTTACAGAAAATTCTCGATATTTATAACAATTTTATGATACTTTTAATAAAGTCTTAATTTATTTAAAAGTTTTTACAATTTCTTCATCTATAAAATAGGAAATTTTTCCAAAATTGAGTACAAAAATTATATGTACGTACAGTACGTATCAGTCGATCGAGATATCATATTTGATTTTTTATCATATGATTTTCATAAATTACACAAATCGATGAAATCACATTTTTAAAATTTTTCCCAAAGACTTAGTTATAACAAATAATATTCTTTAAAGCAAACAAGTTTTCAGAATCGAACAGTATAAAATATATGAAAAACTAACAGCACCCAGTAATGTACAACCCCTTTAAAGATGTACAACTATTTTGTCTTCTTTCACATGATTCTTTTGGAGTTTTCAAGATTTTAACATGAAAAATGGCTTGTTAGATGTGCACAAGCGAGAACTTTTAGTGAAATGCATCTTTGAAGAGTTGTTACATTAGTAACGTTGTGCTAAAAATTAAGAAAAACTGTTTTACAATATATAGATTGCAATCTTTGCTAATAAGATATATTTTTTTTTTCTTTAGTAAATAGATTAGCAATACAAGCACGAATTTTTTTATCTAAAACTGCTTTGATTTGTTTCATGTTGTCTTTTTTGCTTCGGTACAAAGCTTTCTTTGTGGGTTTACTTTGTTGAAAAACTAGGTTGTGATTAGAACCGAGAACTTGTAGGTTAGGTTGTTTTTTCTTTTTTTTTTTTTGTTTTACATTTTTTCTTTCTTTGAACTAATACTAACTTTCTTTCATAGGTGAGTAATAGGTTTAGTAACAGGTCTTGTAGGATAAGTAGTTTTATTGGTTGATTTTTTTTTCTTATTTTTAGTTTGAACTTATACAATTTTCTTTTTTTGTTGTTTTTAGATGAAAATTTGTTTTTAAAAAAATCATGTAAAATTTCAATTCCTATTCTTTGGCAAGATCTAATTATTTTTTGATGAAATTTCATTCAAATGATATTTCTAACTATTTTTCGATGAAAATTAATTTTTAAAAGATTAGATAAAACTTCAATTCCTTTGGCAAGATTCATTTTTGTTTATTTGTTTATTTTTAATTATTTTTTGATACAAATTCAGTTTTAAAAAATTAATCTATTTCAATTCCTATCCTTTGGTAAGAACTATTTTTACTCAAACGAAGGTATTTATTCATTTTTAATTATTTTTCGTTTTTTGTCAAAGACGAAAAATTTGATTTAAAAATTAATCTAAATTTTGATTCTTTAGTAAGATCTATTTTCATTCAAATGAAAGCATTTATTTATTTCTAATTATTTTTTGTTCCTTGTCAAAGACAAAAACTATATAAATAAATACAAATATTGTTACAATGCTATGGCCTTCTTTGTAACCACATAGCACAGTAACAAGGTCACCTGGTGTAGGGATTCTGCTATTGGAATATACACGGGGTGGATATGCAGTACAATTAAGTATCCACAGCAGAAGATAAGCAGTTTGGTATTAGGATAGTGTATTTTAAACCTTTATTTTTATAGGACAAGAGGATAACCTCCTTTAGAGATTCTAAAGAGAGTTATACATTACAAAAGAGAATTACAAGACTAATTCTACATGAGAGAGGTAATTAAGATCTATCTAAGAGCTATCTAAATCTGTATAAATCTGTATAAGATCTGTTTTTACAAGAAGGGATTAAGGCTTCCTTTATATACCTTTTACAAAATAAAAGAGGAAATTGAGAGTAATATGACATTGTACTTGAGGGAGTTGAGGAATGTACTTGAGAGAGTAGAAGGCCGTGTTGAGGGAGTTAAAGACTGTGTTGAGGGAGTAGAGGGAGTTAAGAGAGATGAGGGCCATGTTGAGGGACTTGAAGGTATAGTTGAGGAACTTGAGAGCCATATATAACTTTAGCCACATTATATGCCACAGTGGCTTTAACTCTCTGTTAAATGCTAATAAATAATAACTATCTAATATAAAGTACAAGATAATAAATATAAAAAATATAAACTAAATAATATAAAATCTAAATTATGTGCTACACTATGCTAATTTATGAAAACCTGTTTCATAACATTTTCCTTCCCTTAAGTTTTTGGTCTACCAAAAACCTTATTTACGTCTATACTATCTAAAAAAAAAATTTTAACTAACTTATTAAATTTCTCAATACTTAAATTATCAAAGTCCTAAAGCTTTACAGTATTGGTACTGAGATGCTGCATATGCATCTATCACTATACATGATTGTTGTAACTGGTGATTCACAAACAATAGTTACAGAGTATTGTAGCTATTTACAAATCTGGTGAAGTTTCATATGTTTTCCATTTGTGCCAACTATATGCAAAAATCCTGCTTTGCAATGCTTGGCAAAACTTTTTAGCCAGACATGTGTTTTGATAGCTTCTTTGTCTTTTCCTTCTTTAAAATTTGTGAGGACTCCGAACTTATTCTAGATTTTGTACTAAAATTAGATTTGAATATTCCTAAATTGTCTATTTCCTTCTAAATTTGTAATTACACCATTATTGTTTGTAATTTTCTTTGTTGACATCATACAATAATTTTTCTTTGGCATGGGAAAACTTATCAATTGTTTCTAACTCTATTTATAATCTTGTTTTTCCTATATTCGTTTCTCAAAAATTTGCTGCATACAAATCTTCCTTTTGGTACAATTTTTTTCTATTATTCTTTTACATAAAAACTTTTCTTGTTTAATACTCATCACTTTTTTTATTTTCTAGTTTTAGTTTCTGTTTAAAACTTCTCTTGCCTTGCTTGTCTTCCTGCTGTTTTTCCTTTGTTGAAGGTGTGTATATTTTTGGGCCGTGTACTCAGCTTCGTGAGTTTTATGCTTGCGAGGATAAACACTGGTCGTCCATGTCTGGGTAAGCTGACTTTTCTTTGTGCTTGGACGATTGATTTTCTTTATGACTTACATGATTGATTGCATGGCCATGGTGGATATTTTTCTGTTACTTCCTTTTCTTGTTTTCAAGTATATATACGTAGAAGAAATGTCCTTTTTCTAATGACTTTTTGGTCAATTTTTAGATGCCTAGAACACCTCGAAGCCAGTTGGTATCCAAAATAGTTTGTAGATTACGAAACCAAGTTGCTAACTTGCAAGCGCGGCTTCAAGAATATGATCTGACTAAGCTGGTGCAGCAGAATTTCCTTAACGACGTTCGGGTGGAGAGGTTACGGGTAGATAGAAATCAGTTGATGGTTTGGGTGCGAGATTTGGAGACAGAGATTAATAATTTAGAAGCAGAGATTTTGGCATTGCAAAGTATGTTGGAGGGTAGTCAGGGTTTTAGTTTGTTTGAGTTGGTGGTTGTTTCTATTTTTCTTTGTTTTGTACATTATTTTACTTTCTTTTTCCTTAATAAATTCTTTGGGGTTTAATTTCTAAATTGTATAAAATTTCTAAATTTTGTTAATAAAATTTTAAACTTTAATGATCAAATATCTAAGTCTAATAAATTTTTAAAACTAAAATTTC